CCAGCTGCAGCAAGCCGGAGAAAGAAGAACAAAGTTGGAGGGATCACATTACCAGATATAAAGCTATATTACCAAGCCACGTTTCTCAAAACTGCCTGGTACTAGCACAAGAACAGAACCCAGAACCCAGAAATCAATCCAAGCCATTATGCTCAGTTAATATTTGACAAAGGAGGAAAGAGCATACCATAGAGTCAAGACAGTCTCTTCAATAAATGGTGCTGGGAAATTTGGACAGATACATGAATAAAAAAAAAATGAAACTAGATCACCAACTTATACCATACACAAAAACAAACTCAAAATGGCTAAAGGACTTGAATGGAAGATGGGAAATCATAAAAAGCCTACAAGACTCCATAGGGAGCAAAATAGCAGGAATATGTTGCAGCAATGTCTTTACAGACACAGCTCCTAGGGCAATGGATTCTAAGGAGAAAATAAACAAATGGGACTACATCAAAATAAAAAACTTCTGCACAGCAAAAGAAACCATCACTGCATGGGAAAACATATTTGTCAATGATATTTTCAATAAGGTTTTAATCTTCAAAATTTACAGAGAACTCATACAATGAAACAAAAGGAAGATAAACGACCCAATCAAAATAATGGGCAAAGGATCTAAATAGACAATTTTGAAAAAGGACTTACAGAAGGCCCAGAGACAAATGAAAACATGCTCAAAGTCACTAATCATTCTAGAGATGCAAATCAAAATAACCATGAAAGACCCTCTCACATCTGTCAGAATGGCTATCATCAACAAATGAACAAATGACAAGTGCTGGCAAGGATTTGGAGAGAAAGGAACCCTCCTGAGCTGCTGGTGGGAATACAGATTGGTACAGCCACTGTTGAAGATAGTATGGAGTTTGCTCAAATAGTTGAGAATGGAACTCTTATATGACCCAGCAATCCCACTTCTAGAACTATGTCCCAAGAAACTAGAATCACCATTCAGAAAGGATATATGCACCCCTATGTTCATAGTAGCACAATTTACAGTAGCTAAGATTTGGAAACCACCGAAGTGCCCAAGAGCAGATGAGTGTATTAGAAAGCTAATACACTACACAATGAAATACTATGCTGCTATAAAAAGAAGGAGCTTTTACCATTTGCAACAGCATGGATGGAACTGAAGAGCATTATGCTAAGTGAAATAAGACAGCCAGAGAAAGGTAGATATCACATGATCTCACTCATATGTCAGACATCATAACCAACATAATTTGATGAACAAGAATAGATTCAGAGACAAATGATAGGGCAGGGAGGGGGATGTTAGAGAGCAACCAAAGGACTGGTATGCATGCATATTAGCATAACCAATGGACACAGACACTGGGGTGGTGAGGCCTTGCCCAGAGTGGGAATGACTGGGTGAGGGTGGTCAATTGGGGAAAAAAATACATATGTAAAACTTTAGACAATACATAAAAATAAAGAAAGAAAAAAAAATTATTGTGGGACATGCAGCTTATGGGCCATAAGTTTGACATGTTGCTATAGAATGATGAGATAAAAGGAATATTTTATGGTATTAATTCTTCGTATTTTGGAATATAATCTATACTTACACCATTGTGTCTTCTTTTCTTGTTTTTAATATTCTGAGTACAATCTTTTACATATTGAGTTAAATGATATCTATGTAAATTACTTATATATCAATTGTAAATGGCATCTTTCTTAATTTTCCTTTCTAATAGTTTATTATTGACTAAAGGCCTGGTGCATGAAATTCATGCAGAGGGGTTGTGGTGTCCTCTCAGCCCAGCCTGCACCCTCTCCAATCAAGGACCCCTTATGGGATGTCTGACATTCCTCTCATAATCCTGGACCACTGGCTCCAAATCACTCACCATCCTGCCTTCCAGGTCACCCGTAACTGTCCCCCCACCCCCAGCTGGCCTGATCACCCCTCACTGCCCCCTGCTGCTGGCCC